AACGTCGTCGCTTTGTTACCTGAAAACACATACGTGAGCTAGCCGGCGAGTGTGTGCCGGAAACCTCTCCGATGCCTAAGTCAGCAAATAGACAATAGACACAAAAGCTCCGTGTATTCTAGAGTAAGAATTGTGATACCTGTACATAGATCCTGCTACGAGCTTTTATAGATTTCGAGTGGCACAATCCTAATAGGACTCTGTTTCTCCAATGTAGAGTCCTCCTAAGAATCAGAAAGTTAATGCTTATCTTTCCATACCCCTCTCACTACCTAACCAAGTGAGATGGATTTACCGCGATAATACGACAAAACAACCGGGTTAACACATGCTGAGGCGGCAAGTTTCACCGAGCTTTTCTTAGCTCGGTTCTACCTTGCTTGGTTTAGCTCGGTTCCAGCTTGCTTGTACAACGCAACTTCCTAAACCCCAGTTCGGAATACTCAAACCGAGCTAACTTCAGTCATTCATGACCAAGCTAACAGGGCCCAGTGGCAAAGCCCATTCTACTCAACCCACAGCTCAGCCTGCTTCTTCCCAGTCCTAGCTCAGCCCAGATTTACACTTTTTACCCTCTCAGTATCCATGAACCTATTTAATTAGTGAGACAAATTGATTAATTTTCTACTTGTTTTTGTAAAGAATTGTTGTGGAGTTCTTGAATAGGCTTTGAGGAAATAAAATAATTTTGTGCCTTTTTTTTTTATACTGGAAAAAGTGAACATACTTTCTTCTCCCCTCTGGTTGGTTGATAAAAAATTTGAGGAAGAAGAGAGAATTAGAAATATATTAAATCTAATGTTTTAGTTGTTTTGATTTACAAGAAGTCATAAAACCAATAAGTTGTGGCAATTTGGGTTTTTGAAGTCCGAATCCTGTGCATTAAGGTTGTTTTGAGTTATGCTAGTATGATCAGTGATATATGTTTCTTCATTCAAAGCACCACTGGTATTTTACTACGAGGGGTAGTGGAAATTTGGCATTTCAAAATTTTGTTTTTGTGCATTTGAGGTGGTTTTGAGTTATGCTAGTATAATCAATGATATGGGTTTCCTAATTCAAGCAATGTTGGTGTTTTACTGAAGAAACTGAAGAATTGCCATGTTTGTTCAGTTTGAAACTACTATGTGTGTAACATGTGTGTAATTAATCACAAATGCTATGTTTGAAACTGAAGAAAATGACTGACATTGAGCTGTCATGTTTGTTCAAATGCTATTAATAGTTTAGTCTGTGTAACCTCTGTATCAGCTGTGTTTTGTTTCAAAAACTGTCTACTTTTTTCTTTTTTCTTTTCTGGATATCTCTTCATATGCTTGGTTTTGGGATTAATTCCAGCAGTACCTTCTTTCTTGGTTTTGTAGTACAAATGCTATGTTTGTTCAATTTGGCTCAAACATGGCAGTTTGAACAAATATTTTGGCAAACTAAAGAAACTGAAGAAACATGGTTTTGGGATTTTCAGTTTCTTAACATGTTGGAAAAACTGAAGAAACTAAAGAACTGCCCTGTTTGTTCAGTTTGAAACTGCTATGTGTGTAACATGTGTGTAATTAATCACAAATGCTATGTTTGAAACTGAAGAAAATGACTGACATTGAACTGTCATGTTTGTTCAAATGCTATGTTCATATATTCTTAAGCCTTCACACTCTGTCCCTCTCATCTATAGAACTGCCATTACTTCTGTTATGGGCATAACTCCATAGAACTGCCATATGTGTGTAATTACAAATCATTTAATTTAGACCTTGTCTATTAAACTTTACAAACCATTACTTTTGCTTCAAACACAAGCATAGCACAGCACTAAAAATTTGTCATGTATGCAGATTTAAAAAATGGCTTCTTCTTCTAACAATAGCAACATAAGATTAGAACTGAGACTGTGTGTTGCAATCTATTTCATCATCATCAACAACAACAACAAACAAAAAAACTCCATTATCCATTATTTGTTGAAAATATTCATTCTTAAACACACACCAACGCACATGAATGATCCATTATTTGTACAAAATGAACTCATCTTCGTAGTCATCATCAATAATAACAACATATCTGAGTCAAGAAAGAGAGAGAGAAAAAAATACAGATAGAGAGAAAAAAAAATCACATAGATCTCCATTGACAGATTTTGTCGAATAGATAGGGGGTCAAAAACTTCAGCAAAAATCACCACGACACCGAGATCAGAATACAACAAAGGAGATTTGTGGTTCCAGACTTCATCAATGTACCGAAACAAATGAAAAATGACAACCAGATCTAGGATATAATATAATATGACAAGTGAGATAGAGAGAGGGCAAAAAAAAAAAATTTGATTTCATAAATTGAAACTAACAACAATTGAAAGAGAGGTCAATGGATTGTACCAATGATGATCATGTAGATGAGTAGTGTGTTGGAGATTGTTGATGACGATACAGGCGTAAGTGCGCCGCCGAACTCATCGCCGACGAGTCCCATGTAAGAGAACACTTTGGAAGCTTTGTTGAACCTCAATTTCACATTGATCGAAACCTCCGTCAACATCGCACCGAGAACGATGACGATAAGTCCTGGGATCATCCCTAATTGCTTCAGAGTGGCCGGGAGGGCCATGATTCCGGCGCCAACGATGGTGGTGTAGAGGTTGAAAACTGCGCTAGAGAACGATGCACCATCAAAACCGAGAAAACGACCTAGAGAGAGATTGGATGTACAATCAAAGCATTCTTCGAAGAACACTTCAATTGATGTGATCGTGATGAGAAAGAAGAGAATGAGAGAGACAACACTAAGGTTCCATCTCTTCAACGCCGTGGTCGCTCAGAGAGGTTTGAGATCAAAGAGTGAAGGATTTGAAATCTGAGTGACAGAATTGTTATGCGAGAGAGATTCTGCTTGGTAGATATCAGTGGTTATGGTTGTGGATGTTAGTGGTTTCTAGAGAGAGAGAGAGAAAGAGATGAGTGAAGAGAGGCATTGGATTTGGGGTAATGAATCCAACAAATAAATTTGTAGGAATGCCAATACGTAATGATAATGGATACTTTGGTCATTCCATAGTGTCTTGTCCTTACGAACACAATAAAGTAGCGCCTAGACCTTTAGGCAAGAAAAATTTTAAAATGGATTTATCGCCCGAACACCTAATAAAATAAGACTCTAATAATACTAGAAACATAATTATAGAAGATTTCTATCAGTTTCTCTACGAAATCATATCAATGTCCAAGTATCATCACTTCTCTGAATTTAGCATTCTTCGAACTTCTTATACTATGTATCATTCTCCCTTGGTTGGAAAAAACTCGACTTCGAGTTTTGAAGTGGAGTATAAGAATCCACAAGTTTTAAAATTGGATCCATGGCTTCAGATTAAAATGTTCAAGTTGATACCGCCTTTTATTCTTTGGAGATTGCAAAAATAATAATAATAATAATAATGAGAGATTGATCTTTTCAATCATGTCACTAAATTTTTCTAGAATAACAAAGTCAATTGACATAGGAAACACATATTTGAATTCATCCAAATTAGTTTTCATAAAACTTTCTTCGATATTCTCGGCAACAACCTCAAATCATTCTTTTTAGCCTCTTTACCTAGCACAAGATCATCTTTTGATTCACTATTGGTCATTTCATTGATTATGATTGGCGCACATTCATCAAAGACCTCGGATTGTAATGTCTTGACCACTAAAGGTATTATATGTTTTGAACTAGCAACTGCTCTTTTCAATTCATTACTCTCAAGAGCATAAAGAATGACAATTTATTTGATTTCACCCTTTGCCTTTTCAAGTTCAATACATGGAGTTTCAATTGGTGGCTTCTCATCCTTCATAATCTGGAAATCATTCTCTAAGCTGATTTTGAACATATTCCTCATCTTGCAACTTCAACTGTGTAGGGTTTTGATCCCTAAGAACAACATCTGGCTTTGGCGCATCTTGTTGTGAATTTTCAGCATCTATTTGTGGCACTTGAACCCTTTGTTTTGGAGCTTTGGTAGCCTTTGTATTCTACATAAGCTTCAAAACAGTAGATTTCTCCTTAATTTTTACAAAAAAATTCAAATTGTATTGCAATTTCAATAGCATCTTCGAGATCTTCTAAATATGCATAAGACATCTCTTTTTTAATTCGAAATCTCAATCCACTTTTGAAATGAGCAATAGTTATCCGTTCACTTTCGACAACTTCAGATTTGATAAATAACTCCTTATATTTTCTTGCATAATCAATCACACGCATGTTACCTTGCTCAAGAGCAAATCATCTTGAAGATCCCTTAGACAAATTTTTTCTCTAAGAAGCGCTTTACCCTCTTCCCAAGTCAATCCACTTGTATAGGATCTCCCACAATGTGAAAATATCATGGCTGAACCTTAAGCTCTAATACTAAACTGATGCAGGACAAGTAGGGATTTTTAAAACAAAGGTTATTTGACGGCCTTAACAGTGAGTAATTTAGGTTTTAAAGGGTTAAATTGAAGGCTAATAGATAAGGGAAGGGAGGAGGGTTGATTTGGGGATGATTGGATAGGGTTTTGAGGTTGAATAGTGCACTTTTAGAGGGTTGTGAATAGTAATCCGAGAATAATAAATTGAAATAGAATCTGAGAATAATAAATTGAAATAGAAAAGAAAAAGAAAGAAGAAGATAGGCCTATGAATCACTTCTAGAATCCCTTAAACATCACACCTAGGGTTTGATTGCATCACACAATCAATAAAGAACCCTCAAAACTCTCAATTTTTTTATAAAATATCAACTCTATTGATTATAAACATTACATAGCTTTATATAGGACTAGAAGACTTCCTAAACCAACTAGAACCAAAAATGCTTAGTCTTCTTTAAGTTTCTTATACCCCTGCACCGCTAACAGTCCTAGGAATGCCAATTCCATCTATTCAGTCCACCCAAATGAACATGACCTTAATGTTCACAAAATGTTTTTATTACTTTGTTCATGTAATTTCTTGTTGTCTGAACCATATGCATTCCTTGTTTGTGCTGATGCATGCAGGATGAAGGATAAAACTCTAGCTTTTGTCGGGGATTCGTTGGGACGACAGCAGTTTCAGTCAGTAATGTGCATGATCACAGGTGGTGAGCAGAGGACTGATGTTTTAAATGTTGGAAAGGAGTATGGTCTTGTCAAAGGTCGTGGGGCCATTCGTCCTGGTGGATGGGCTTATCGGTTCCCAAACACCAATACTACCGTACTTTATTATTGGTCTGCAAGCCTCTGTGACTTGGTGCCCCTTGATATAACTAACCGTTCGACTGATGTTGCCATGCACCTTGATCGGCCACCAGCATTTTTGCGCCATTACCTTCACAAATTTGATGTCCTTGTTCTCAATACCGGGCACCATTGGAATAGAGGGAAGCTCAACGCTAACCGTTGGGTGATGTATGTTGGGGGTGTTCCTAATACTGATAGAAAAATTGCAGGTATCCCAGGCGCCAGAAACTTGACAGTTCACAGCATCATCAAGTGGGTGAACTCGCAACTACCAAGGTATCCGGGATTAAAAGCATTTTACCGGTCTATTTCACCAAGGCATTTCTTCAATGGAGATTGGGACACTGGAGGTACATGTGAGAATACCAGTGCGAATGCTGCTGGCATGGAAGTTTTACAAGAGGAATCTAGCGATGATCTTGCTGCAAGGGCAGTGAAGGGAACATCGGTTAAGCTCTTGGATATAACAGCTTTGTCTCAGCTGAGAGACGAGGGTCATATATCTCGATACAGCATAAAAGCCACGCCAGGTGCACAGGATTGCTTGCATTGGTGCTTACCTGGTGTTCCAGATACATGGAATGAAATCCTTTTCGCACAGCTGTAGTAGTCAATACCAAAAAACAAAATTCCCCACATCAATACCAAAAAACAAAATTCAATCTAAAAAACAAAAAAAAAAAAAAAACCAAAACACAAAACATTCAACACAAAAAAAATCCCAAGTCCAACACAATTGCACATAAATATATACATATAGAGAAAGAGATCGGGAACTAGAGGGCCTAAAAAAAAAATCCCAAATCAACACAATTACATGCTTGATTCATTGCTTCAAAGAATTCATTTGACCAGACCACAAAAATTCTTATGTGGACTATTGCAGGTTGTTGAGTTGTTGTCATGGTTGCTTCAGATGGGTTAAACGTGGAGCTTTAATTGTCGTATTATTGTATCATACCCCATCTCTTTCCAAATAACCTTTGATATCTTTCATTTCCTAAATTAAATTTCAATAAAACTATATATATATAAATTTTGTGTCTGCTTCACTTTTCCTTTGTGGTAGTGGTGGCGATAGGGTGTAAGGTCGTTGAAATTTCTTTTTCGACCGTGCTTGACCCTTCTTAATGTTTTTGAGTTAGAAATTTGCAGTCTTGGGCGTAAGGACGGAACTGGGGAGTGTGGAATTGCCGTGGAAACTTTTGAGCTGCCTATGGCTGCACATGTGGTTATGTTCAGAGAAAATAAGGGAATTCTAGGACAGGGGCCGCACGTGCGGCGAGAGAGAGCAGCACTGTGATTTTTCCTTGGGATGATCCGTATGTGCGGCCAGTGTAACGCCCTTAATTTTATAACTAATTCCTTTTTAAAGTCCAATTACATAATATAAATACAGAAGTAAGAGTACAAGTGATTTAATAGTAATATTCTCTCTCTTATTATACGAATGATGAAATACTTAAATGAAAAATGATTGATCCACCGAATTTGAACTCGTTTGAGTTGCCCGAATTACATAATTCAAACGTTCGGCTAGATGACCTCCCAGACAACTGCCTAAACGATCGGCGTCACCTTTGTCAACTGCAACTGTTACCCTTACCTATCGATGTGTTAACCGACATCTGTCCGGATGACCGGTTGGACGATCGGTATGCATGAATTCAGGCAATTTGAACAAGTCCAAATTCGGTGGATGTAGCAATACTCTACTCAAATACATGTTATTAAAAGACATATCCTTAGGCTTACATAGAAAGTCATTGCATAATTAACTATAATGAATAAAAATACATTCTTTCTACAATACATGGGCATTTCGCCAACAATCTGCCTATATCTAAATCACAACAAAATAACTCGCTGATCCTTGGACGTTGTATCAGGATCTACACTTTAAAAATTGTTCAACAACAGGGATGAAAACAAAGGTCCAGTAGGGATCTACAATGGTTCTAATCATTAACAATCTATAGATAAATATGATCATGAATGCTCAAGGTTGTACATATATAAGTAAGCGACGCTTCAAAAATCGGGAACATCAAACAATATATTAACAAATAAAAACAGGATTTTTCTAAAGTTAGAAGTCAAAAAAAATAAAAAATAATGATACATCAGAGTTAAATATATTACTAGTGCCAATTTTCTTCCTTCACTCTCTCTCTCCCTCACGTTTGTATCAACAAAAGAGTGAAATGGGAGTGTATGGGTGCACAAGGAAGCCCATTAGTGCCTTAATTAGGCTTGGACAAGGTGTAATTGATTAAGGCCAAATAAGTGGACATTAAATTAATCTAATTTAATCGTTCCAAATTGAATTTTAATTAAACCTACCATAAGGTTCTAAAAATTCCAAATAACTCATAAATCAAATTAATTTCTGTATCAGATGCCGATAGGGCCTTCAATTCACAATCCGAAGCTAAAACACGAACAGATCTTCCTACATTGAACATATATAGACACAAAATGATGCAATGCACATATGCAAATTAATTCAGAATTTCTCCTTAATTACTAATTAGACATAATTAACCATGGATTAATGTTAATCATGGGTCGGGGTTGTTACATATTTGGTGCAACCATGTTGTATGATGAGACCGTCGAATCGTTTGTATAGTTGTTTCAAAATTTTCTAGAGGCTATGTCAAGAAAGGCACCAAAAACTTTGTTTACAGATCAAGATGCTGCAATGGCTAAAGCCATACCCATTGTTATGCCTGACACGAGTCACCAATTGTGTACTTGGCATTTGATGCAAAATGCATTAAAACATGTTAATTGTTTGTTCCAAGATAAGGGGGCAAAGGGTGTGTTAAATAAATTCATGTTTGACATTGAAGATGAAAATCAATAGAAGTTAGAGCGGGCTGAAATGCTTGATAAATATGATGCGCATGATAACAATTAGTTGAAATTGGCTTTTGCGGTGAAAGAAAAATGGGGCTGGCCATATGTTAGATTAACATGGGCTGCGGGAATGAGCACCACACAACTTAGTGAATCTTTTAATGCTTTTTTGAACGATTACATTCGTTCTGATTTTAATTTAAATGAATTCTTCATGCCTTTTGAAAGGGTACTTTATGAGAAGCAATACAAGGAGTTAGAAGCAGGATATGCTTTGTGCCAAAGGTTGCCAAAGGTGAAAGCGTTTATAAGAATGTTAATTCAAATGGGTAATATGTACAAAAAAAGATTTTGAGGAATTCCAAAATGAGTACTTTCGATCCATTGAATCGAACATAGAAGCAATTGAATATGGCCAGGCTAGTACCATCTTCACAGTTGTTGATGTTGGGAGGAAACATGCAAGGAAGGTAAAGATTGAGAGGGATGGCTCTTTGGGTTGTAGTTGTACAAAGTATGAAAGGGAAAGAATTTTGTGTTCTTAAGAGACATATTGAAGATGAAAGAGGTTCCTTCAAAATACATTGCAAAGAGGTGGACCAAACAAGCAAGAGCTGAAACTGTGAAGGACATTACGGGGAATGACATTCAAGTTGATGTAAAATTCCAACAAGCCTTACGGTATAAGACATTGATGACCGTTTTTAGAGCAATAACATGTAGAGCTGCTAAAATTGAAGAAACCTATGATTTGGCAATTGCTCAACTCACTACATTAGGTGGAAATGTTGAATGCAATTTAAGTGCTCATTTTGCTGTTGAAAATGAAGTACGTAATGAGGATGAAACCCAAAGCGTTGAAGTGGATTGCGAAGATGACAATCATGTTGTGCAACCAAGAGGCTTGAGGAAAAAGGTAGCAACTACTAAGGGCAGAAGGAGAGTAAAAGGTGGATTCGAAGCAGCATTGGTAGCAAACTCGAGAAAAAAAGCCCGTGCTAATACCTTAGCTACTTCACAATCTACTGTAGGTCCAACAGTTAGACCTTCACCATTATCTGTTGGAGGAGATGTCTATAGTCATCAACATGTTCCTCCTCTTCATCCGCTTAATCCATCTGTTGCAATGAGTGGTAATTCAATACCCCCTTCATTGATATATCCCACATATCATATGAGTGTTAGTTTCAAATTTTATTATTTTGTTGTCGATATAATATAACACTCTGTGACTTATTGTCAACCCTAATATAATGATGTCCTTGCTGTAGGCAAACAATTTGTAAAATATGTATGTAGTGCCAAATTGTGTGCCAAATTCAATGCCTCAGAGCTATTATGGTCAACCAACATTCCAGTTAGTAGGTGAAGGTTCATCTAGATATGACATTGGATTTCGATATTTTGAACAATCAAATGGTCCAATGTGTAGTCAGGTTATTTCATTAACTTTGGCAATTGATATTACATTTTTTGTACATTGTTTGCCCCTTTGCTACTGTGTTTTGTTAATTTTTTTTTTTTTTCTTGTCTTAGGCTATCAACCAACACAAATAGGTGGAACGCACTGCAAATTTCTACAATAGCAGCTCATAAACATTAACAAAACACAGGACCTGTCCATGTGTTAATGAAACATGTGTTTCTGATGCTACTGTCCATGTGCTGCTAATGTCCATGTGTCTTGCTGTCCATGTGCTGATGATGTCCATGTGTTGCTGTTGAAACTGAAGAAACTGATATAGTGCTGAAACTATTTTGTAACTTGTAAATGAGTACTTGAAACAGTTTTGTATTGTTGCTTAAGTGCTGAAACAATTTTTTAACTTGTGTTATTATGTACTTAAGTTCTTATTTTATTATGTAAGTGTTAACCTCCAAGAATGAAGGAGCAGATTGAAGTCATATGCTAGTAAAAAAATTGTATTTAAGTGGATCAATATGCTGTTGTTATATGTTCTGCTATCTGTTATAAGTGGATCAATATTTTGTGTTGTTATGCTATCTGTTCTCTATTTTGCTATTATGTTGGTCCTAATATTGCTGATTCTGGTATGCTGATACTAGAATGTTGCTGGTATGGAATATTTCAGTTTAGTGCTTTAGTGTTGATTCAGTTTAGTGCTTTAGTGTTCTGCTATCTGGTTAGTGCTTTAGTGCTTTAGTTTTGTTGGTTCTGATATTTCAGTTTAGTGCTTTCGTGTTGCTGATATTTCAGTTTAGTACCTTAGTGTTGCTGGTTCCATGAACATATGCCTCTCCATGAACACAGTAAACAGGTTTCCTTAAGAATGGTAGAGATGTCTGAATCTAGTACCATGAACATATGTCTTAGTGTTGCTGGTTTTCTTAACATGAACATGAACATAAGTCTGAATCATAAATGTCTGGATGTCTGAACATATATCTCTCTATCTAGTGTTGCTGGTTTCCTTAACATGAACATATGTCTAAATCATAAATGTCTAAACATATTTCAGTTTAGTGCTTTAGTGTTGCTGGTTCCATGAACATATGTCTAAATCTATTGCAGTATTTTCCATAACATAAATTAGGTAGAGATGTCTGAATCCAGTCCTGGTTATGCTATTGATGCATTTGGGGCCCAGATGGATCTATACTTGGTACATCTAAATGCTTTATTTTCAATCACTTGAGCTCTATTATATGTTTAACTTTATGCATACATACGTTCAATCTAAATGCATACATATATGTTCAACTTTAAATCTGCATACATATGTTCAACTTTAAATCTGCATACATAATTAAGACAGGATAATTAAGACAGCATTTGGAAGTAAGCTCTAATAATGAAACCAATGTTTCCCAAAATTCATTCCATAATGAAGTAAGCTCTGTTATATGTACAACTTTAAAATTCATTCCATAAACATAAGTTACATCATGAAGTACAATAAAACCCAAAATGGTATAAACTTCCATTCAATTTCCCAAAATGCAATAAAGTATAAAAGTTACATCATAAAGTACAAAATGATAGAAAATACAATGAAATACACCATCGCTTTCAAATTATTTTCTATCCTTTCAAGCCTTCGACCATAGTCATTTTCCATGTCATCAAGCCTCGTCCTTACATCGTTAAAGTCTTCTACTGTTATAGCATCACAAGCTCTAGTGTTAGAACGGATTCTGGACATAATGTCTTCATCATCTTCATCCAC